ATTTTTCATGGTTTCTATCACTATACCGTCAAGTTCACTAATATTTTCTTAGCAACGTCTAACCTGCTGTTAATGCCATCCAGGGTATTCTTGATCTCACACGTGTAGTTATTTCTTAAAGTTTGGTTTTGGTCTTTAAAGTATCTTCCATGTTTCTGCTTACCTTTCTGAGCATAGTGAATGCAATTATAACATCTGTGTTAATATCTTTGTCTGCTAATTCAAACGTCTGTGTCAGTTCTGAGTCAGCTTTCATTGACTGGTTGGTTGATCTCGTTGCGGTGGGGCATGTTTTCCTGCTCCTCCCCACGCCCAGTGCTTCTTTACTGCCATCAGACACAGGTGGGACGGGAGCGGTGCTGCCACTACCAGGCAAGATTCCTCTGCACGGACGGCCCGGTGCCCTGGGAGCCGGCTGGCGGGAACAGGCACCTTCCAGCTGCGTATTTGCAGACACTGAGAGTGAGGACCCTTCCTGTCTATTAGTTCTCAGCGTCCTGGTCCAGGGATGCTCTGTACCCGCTGGGCTTTTCTCTCTGTGCAGATCCCTCCCCACTGGGGCTCGGTCACCCAGACCCTCGTCTCCGCACCACCCCTCCAGGGCACCTGCTGGGCACCTTCGCTCCCCTCGCCATGCCAACGCCTGGCCTTCTCTCCAGGCAGTGAGCTGGGATCCTCCTGTTTGTTCTCGTCTATCATGGATCACTGTCCTTAGTTTTCTAGTATCTAGTGTCTCACAAACCACTGTTGTATATATTTGTCTGTTTTTTCAGTTGTTTCTGATGGGAAGGTAAATCCTGACCTCATTACTTTATCTTAGCTGTGAGCAGAAGTCTAGCTTTATCCTTTGGATACAAAAATCTGATCACATCTATTATTTAAAACCCTTCAGGAGCCCTGCTGCCCTCAGGATAAAAGCTGAGGTTCCCTGACACAGGGGAAGAGAGCCATCCAGCTCTGCTCCCTCCTGCACTGGGCCGCTCAGGTCCTCAGGCCCCGGCCCTTGGCTGGCTCCAGGCCCTCCCGCGCTCCACCACTCACCCCTGCACGCTCAGCTCCACCGCTTTAAGACCTAAAGTAAACTTTGCCTCTGCAGAGAACCGTCACCGACACGCAGCTTCTCCTGCCTACCTCCGTCTCAGTCACATCAAGTTAGGTCAAGTCACCCCACGTAGAAACCACGGTCTCTCTCCTCTCCCCGCTCCGCCCGCTCATCCCTCTGCTGGACTCCCTTTCTGCTTTGTCGGCCCACATACTTCCTCTCAGTCCTTTAAGAAGCAAGGCAGCATCACCTCTGGAAGACGGTTCACAGGCCCCTCTGCAGCTGCTCCCACTTCCTCCCTGGTCTGAGTGAGGTACCCTCCCACTCCGTGCGCCTTAGTACCTGCCAGGCCTCCACCCCAGTGCTTTTCAAATTCCACTGTAAGCGTGTGTTTCCTCGTCCTCCTCTCTGAGTGGGGGCAGAAACGGGTTTCTGGTTCTTCTCTGTACGTCTGGGCCCCAGCAGAGGCCCCGGGTGCCCAGCTCTCCTCCAGGCTTTTTGCTGATGAGTGAATGGCCGTACAGGGCTCTTACCCCTCGGTGCCATGGCCAGTGCAATCGGGCCTTTGTTCAACTGCCTGACTTTGGCTCGGGCTGAGAACACTGACGAGGGCCACTCAGGTGCCTGGGCTGGGGTTTGCAGAAATGGGCAATCACTGCAGTGAGCAATCCACTGCCTGTGCTGTCAGCAGTGCGTTCTGCCCTCCAGATGCAGAGTGAAGTGCAGAGTGCCGTGGGAACTCCGTGGCATTTAATTACTGAAATGATGGGGGGCCTCCCGTAGCCTGGCCGTGGCAGCACACGCATGGGGACAAGCCCTGGGCTGGGACGCGCTAGGGAAGCCGTTAAACCGTCCTGCGCCTCGCTTCCCGCACGTAAAATTAAACAGATGGAAGAGCACGCCTGTCACCCGTGGTGGTTACCATGGTGATCGAGGACAGACACGCAGTGTTGTTCTGCCCTGGCCGTGCCAATTTCTTTTATTCTGCTCTCATTCCGTTCCATAAATGAGACGGGCAGGTCACGTTCTGCTTTGAATTGGGGAGGGTGCTGTAACGGCGGGGCACGGAAAGGCCACGGCAGGGCACCTGGTGCAGAGCCAGGGCAGCCGTGCTGGAGGCCCGCCCCAGCCTCTCGGGGTCACCAGGCACAGGGAAATGCGTGAGGCGGGCTGGGTGAGTGGATGAGAGGCTCACAGGCAGAAGGGAGCTGGCTTGGGACGCGGGCTGCCCAGAACCTGCTCGGGTGCTCCCAGGGCCTAGGAGACCAGCATCTCGGTGCACGTCTCACCAGCCATGGAGCAGCAGTCAGGGAGCTCCCGGGCTCACTTGATCGTTAGGCGCTCAGTGGCTGCATCGCAGCAAGAGGCTAAAATAAACACCATCAGCTGCTCTAAGCCAGGGCCAGCTGGAAGGTAGCGGCTGGGGCAAGAGGTCTGGCACAGATAATACTCCTGCAGAGACTCCTTTAGGACACAGACAGCTGGCTCTTCTTCCCCAGGGCCCCGGAGGCCAGCTGCAAGAACAGACCTTACTTTTCATTAATTTAAGCAAAACCCACATATGAAGGACTATAGGCATTTACAGGGTCCCTGGGATGGCAGAGTCAGTCTTGGAGGCTCTACACCAGGGAAGTGCCAAGCCCACCCATGAGGCTTCCTTGTCACAGATCCCACTGCTGCTTGGGAACACCACCCAGCACGAGGCTGGACACCAGGCACCAGAAGTAGGCCCTGCACCTACGGAGGACTGGGCACTGGGCACAGGAAGTCCACCCTGCACCCA